ATCATAAAGTGTACTTAGTTTTTCACACATGGCTTCTCCATTTTGGCTTTCTTTCTGTAAAATAAATGATGACATGGTATAACATGTCATGTGTTGTTGTTTGTCTGCGGATGTATTTACCTACTTTTGAGAACTGCTAAGGACCAGATGATTCTTATTATGTCCTGATATGTAAAACCATAGAACTCAAAGAGAGTGTAATTTCTTTTTCACACAACTGTACACTGTTTTCTCCTTCTTCTAATTCCAACTTGCCAAAGATGGTTGTGTTTTATAGTCCATCACTGCTCACACTGTTAGCACGCAAAAACTCAAAGTATGTGAATTTTTGCTTGCTAATCATCACCTCAAGGAAGTAGTCAGTCTTTACTTGATCAGGATTGATTAATCCACCTTTCCCCATGATATAACTAATCTTAAATAGATGGGGTAATACTTAAAGTATGAAGGGTTCTATACAAAAGTGTTTGGCAAATATGGGGAGAATTTTAACTCTTCCTCCCCTGTAAAGATTTCTTATCCCATCTCACATCACTTTCTTTCGCACTGAGCAGACACATTTTCTTATTGAGCCACTATCTTTCAAGGTGCCTGAGTGACAAGTTGTGGACAAGGAAGTTCTTTGCACCAGTGACCTGCTACACAGGCAATTTCTGGACATGGGGTTAATGTTCCCTTGGAAGACTTCTAAACCTGTCTAAAAATAGCCCAGTTGACAGGTCATTGGGTCCAATGGCCCTCCTCTACTATACCAACGTGTCAGCTAGGCTACTTTGGACATAGATTTAGCAGTCTTCCAGAAGAGAGTTAGATGCATGTCCACAAATAGCTTTAATGACAGGTCAGTGGTGTGATAGAGGGTTTGAGAGACACACAGGTGATTTCTGTCCCATTTTACCTTGCACCCCTCTGTTGTGTCTGTGACCCCATCACTTGGGCTAAAAGGGGAAGCAGAATTTTCATTAACGACACCCCAGCTTTTATATATTTCAAGTTGGTATGTGACAGCCTGAGGGTTGCAAGGAGCATTGTGGGCATGCTCCCTCCCACCTCATTCCATGCCCTTGTTCCTCCTCACCAACCTGTCAGCCAACCTATTTGTGGTTATTGTCCCAGAGGAATGCTAGACCCGTGTTCAGAAATGGTTTGAGTAACAGCTCACAGACACACTGGAGGGATTGTAAGATGCACCATGCTCCCTCTCAACATCACCTCACACCTAGTGTCTTGACTTGTCACTTGGCCAAACGGGGGGGGGGGGGGGGAAAA